TGTGTATGAAATATATATATATATATAGAGGTATATGTGTGTGTGTGTGTGTGCGTGTGTGTGTGTGTGTGTCTGTTTGGGTATTCAATTGCCAACAAACTTTGCCGACTACGGTATACTGGTTTCCAAACAGCTATATAGATAGATAGATAGTTCGATAGATAGATAGATAGATAGAAAGATAGATAGATAGATAGATAGGTAGATAGACAGACAGATAGATAGATAGATCGATAGAGAGATCGTTGGCTAGTTAGATAGATAGACAGATAGATAGATAGATAGATAGATAGATGGATCGATAGATAGTTAGCTAGATAGATGGATAGATAGTGGATAGAGACTGGATGGATACAAAGATAGATAGATAGATAGATAGATAGATAGATCGATCGATCGATCGGTCGATAGGTAGATAGCTGGATCGTCAGTTAGTTAGCTAGCTAGATAGATAGATAAATACATGGATGGATAGATAGATAGATAGATACCGGATGGATACAAAGATAGATAGACAGGTAGATAGATAGATAGATAGATAGATAGATAGATAGACACAGCTGTACCTCTGTGTCCATACAAGTTTACAGAAAAATACAGACATTGGACCCTTCCCCGCCTTCCTTGCCAGAACGGCAGCCCCACCTCCTTCTCCTGAGCCATGGCTGACAATTCATCGTGGGATCACTGTAGGGTCAATGACAACTGAGATTTAGGGTTTAGGGTTACTGAGATTGGTGCAATAGTTGGCATTTGCAGACCTGTCCCGAACCTCTGTTAACTTCTCGTTCGTTTGTGTCTCATGTTTGAAACATCAACTGCTCTCTTGACTTTTGCAGCTCTCCGTACACATCGATCGGACCTCCACACAGAGTGGTCAAGAAGCCAAAGGTTTTAGACTGTAGTGGCTCTGGCCTGGGCATTCTGTTAAGAGCTCTGTTGTTCAGGCGTGTGACGCAGAGACATTTCAGTCTCGACCCGCTACACCAAGCTCACTAAAATTGGTGTGTGTGTGTGTAGACTTCACTGCTGCATGCGCATCGCAAGAAGGGACAAATCGATGGTTTTGAGCTGCTGGATGCTTCCGGCCAGTCGTCGCATCTTACGGTTTGCTGTGCTGCTTGGCGAACTGCAGTCCGCGTTCACCTGTACTTCTTTCGAACTGTTGCAAACGCACACGCAGGTCCAGCGAAGGCCAGGTGGGCAAGTTCGTTGCAGATGGCGATGGATGCATTTTAGCTTGTACAGCTGTGCTGGTATACAATCGGGTCAGCACATGCAGTGCGCATTGACATGCCCATGGATGTCTGCACACAGGTTGCGCAGTTGCATATGATCGCGATTGTAAGCCGTGAGCTCGGACCTGTCTAAGCACCTGGTTCCATGAACGCTTGCATACTCGGAGTTCTTACTTCGACTGCCTGCTCTATCTCTGTGCATCGCTGCCATGCCGGTCCCCTCGGACCCGGTCGTTTGGTGCCTGTTCCTGGTTCTGCAGTGACTCTCCGCACATGTGGCATGGGTTTGAACCGACGGGCGAAGTGATACCTCTTGTCTGTACATCACAGAGCTGCCATGTAAAGATCGCACCTGCGCGGTCCAACGGTTCCCATCTACTGTGAAGCCGACCCAATGGAAAAAAAAGTCCGTAACAGCCCCAACACGAAGCGACAAGCAAACCCCCGAGCGAAAGGGAAGCAGGCGGAACCCCCAAAGGTCCAAAACATGATCCTGAACCCCAGATGCCCCGTGGCCACGCACCCACCGAACAAAAAAAACAGGAAAAAGCAACCGATCTACCTAAACCCTTTTTTTGAACCCAGACTCTTCCAATCAGCTGGGTCCTAGACCTTATAATCCTAAACGCTACATCGCCGGAACAGCGAGGATGAGGGCTCTCCTCTGGTTTCAGAGCTTGGCACTGCGGGTCAGCGCAATGGGCCGGGCTCTCCTTCGGCTCAGGAATTTGGGACTTTCCGAAAATAGGGGACCCTAATGTAGTACCCTAAATAGTAGGATCCCTATTATAAGGACCCCTAAATAAGGTGCCCCTAGTTTTCGGAAACTCCCATTTAGGGCCTGCAGCTGTCCCCTGAAAAAGGGCCGAATCAGCTACAAGCAGCTGCTTCAGGGTGATTTAGAGTCCTGAAGTCCTTGGCTAGGACCTGGGAAAGTTTCGTTGCCTTCATAACTAAAATAGGCTTTCGGGGTGTCCGCTATTGCTACTCGAATTATTAGAAGGAACCTTCACGAATCGCACTAGCAACTAGTCAGGCCATGTATATTTGTCTTTCCGAGCTGCGGAGCAAGTCGTTTCGGTCCTGACTGTGTTTAGCCTTTGTGGTTGAGCTACCCTAAACCCTAAACCCTAAACCCTACGGTATCATCGTCTTTGTCTTGACTTGACCTCGAAGATGGACAGCAAGAGCCGTGGAGGCGTGACACATGGTGAGGCGTTTCTAGCTGGACTATAGCTAGATATAAGACTTCCGAGCCCCTGCTGAATAAGGCTGTAAAAGTGTGAAGTTTGAAGAGTGTGTGTGTGTGTGTGCATATATATATATAATATTATATAGCTATATATATATACATAGATTGCATGAGATAAATGTATGTACACGTGAGATTGTGTGCTGGCTTCTGCAAGCACAGGAAAACAAAGGCTACTGCAAGTTGCAATACGCGGTGTCCTGGCAAAGCGGGTTCAAGTCGTACTCCACACCTCGCATGGAAGGTTCTGCCACTCAGCAGCAAGGCAGCGAAGGAAGATTTATGCCGGCGGTGGTGTTAGCTTCAGCATGAGACCAAACAGAAACAGTTCATGTTGACGGGTCGCGACCATCGCCAAGCATCCGCTGTCGTGGGCGTGAAAGCTTCTTTAGACAAGAATTTCTGCTTGGATGTGGCCCCATATTGTGACTTTCGACAATTGCCCTCTCAAAATGGCTACAGTCTGAGGACTGCTAGACCCGGTTGTTGCCAGGAATCACGACCGTTCTCGTTCCTGATGTCCCAAATACAAGCCCTCCAGGCAATGCCTCTGAGCAGGAAGATTCATCGAGCTAAGTGAAACGCATTCACAAAGCCAGAAACCCTCCCGATGAGTCATCCGATTTCCAGTTTTGTGACGGGCACTGTGTCGATGTAGAAGCACCGCATCGTTGCACGAGCTTCGGTCACCAGCATTAACATCGACTTGGGCTTGTAGCCGCAGCTAGTGGGCAGCACACTTTTCGCTTCGGAAACAGCGTTCTCTAGGTGTTTCGCCGTTCAAACTCGGACAGGGCAAGCAAGGCATGCTCGTGACCGCCTGATTCGAGATGATACCAACCAGCTGCGAATCAAGAACAATCTTCATGACCCGAAGCGGCCCGAAGCAAGACGAGTACTGCAGACAGCTCGACCAAGCATGACTTTCGTTCAGGAAGTAGAGAGCCTACGTAGCGGTTCAGTATGGAAATGATAGCTTTAGCTTGGGAGTTCCTGCAGCCATCCTGCTGAGAATCGCTCCGGAAACTGCAGCCTACGGTACATGCAGGCACAGCAAATTAGAATCTCGACAGCTTACAAATCACAACTTTCGATCTCATCAAAAGTGATCTCCAACATTTTAGCCGAGGCTCAATAATCGGTCTCCTCCCAACCCCAATTCCAGTTCCCGCCCACATGGCAGTCGCTGCAGGTAAATTTCTTCTTGTACTTCTTGTCCGGATCCTAAAGCCGCATGTGCAGAAGAACCAACGCTGCGAACGGTGTAGCAATGGCTTCGGCAGAGCGTACCATATGATCCGAGTATACCTGCTAGACATCATCTGCCCTCACCTGGCGGGTGCAACCTCTCAAACATGATCGTCTCAGGCAAAGGGAACATGACCGAGCAATACTCGCAAGGCCGCATCTCATCCGCGAAGCACGCCTTCTTGCAATCAGGTTGCGTAGCAGCTTGTACGCCAATCGGCCCTTAGAAAGCAAACGTAAGAAGGCTAGAAGTATGCGGCTTTGACTTCACACTCTTGCAAGGCTATCATGTTGGTGATAGTTGAAGCGTTTACCGCTATGCGTGCTAGCATGACTGCAAATGCATCTGTAAGCATGCCCTCCCCCCGTCATCCCAGTTGCCACACGACGACTTAAACGCCAAGAAGCCAATTTTTGCAGGTCCGATCTCCGGCCGCACCGCACTTCATCGCGGTAATTCCAGAGAGTTCATCCAAGTTGACGAAGTCCTGAATAACATGAATCTGCCGAACAAGCCACCACCACCACCACCACCACCACCACGACCAGCACCACCACCGAGACCGCCACCGCAACCACGACCACGACCACCACGACTGCTACTACAACGACAGCGACAACGTACAACGACAACAACAATGATAACGACAACGACGACGACGACAACGAGGACGACCACGACAACAACGACAAAACGACAACGACGACAACGACAACAACGACGACAACAACAACAACCACACCACCACCACTACCACCACCACCACCACCACCACCACCAACAACCACACCAGCAGCAGCAGCAGCAGCAGCAGCAGCAGCAGCAGCAGCAGCAGCTGCAGCAGCAACAGCAGCAGCAGCATCATCAACAACAACAACAACCGCACCAACAACAACAATAACCAACAACAACAACAACAACAACAACAACAAACAACAACAACGACAACAACAACAACAAAAACAACCGAACAAACAACAGCAACAACAACAACACCAACAACAACAGCAGCAGCAACAGCAACAGCAGCAGCAGCAGCAGCAGCAGCAGCAGCAGCAGCAACAACAACAGCAACAGCAACAGCAGCAACACCAACACCACCACCACCACC